AAAAATTGGAAATATGCATAAATATGTACGAGGAAATAATGTAAATACAATACACTGCTATTCATACGGCAATGAGTTGAGTTTGTGTAAGTGGCCAAGATGAGTTGACGGGATTTAATCACTTGAATTTCTCCTTGGAAAGTGGATTATGTGGCACTAAGTCAATGCTCGTGCTAACCAATATATATTTTTACTTGTCTGTAGATGTATATATTTCTCTATGAGGAAAATTATTTCTATTCCTATTCGTGCATAACATAAGTTCACGTAATAGTAAGCAATATTACTCTAGTAAATTAATTAGCTTATTTTTATTCTTAATTAATGTTGACAGTTGTCTTTTTCTGGTTTCGCAGATTCCGTTATATCCCGCGGCAATTTTTCAGGGTGAAACCGATGGGGAAGGAATAAGTTTTGTTTTGTATTTTAAGCTTTCCGAAAGCTATGCCAAGGAACTTCCAACCAATTTTCAAGAAAGTATTAGAGTAAGTTGACATCAATTAATCATTCATGTGGCACATTTGATAGTGAGGATTGGAATAGTACTGCAGACCAAACATGTACTTCAATTTTTGATCCGTGACTGTTTGCTGAATGAATTTAATTTTAACATTTAGTTGATCTTGTACATTCTTTCTCCTCTTTAGTCATGTGTGTCTTCTCAATGTTTTTTTTTTTTACTTCATTTATTGCAGAGATTAATTGATGATGAGGTAGAAAAAGTTAAAGGCTTTCCCATAGACGCAATTGTACCCTACAGGGAGAGGTTAAAGATATTGGGCCGTGTAGCAAATGTGGAAGACCTTCGTCTAAGTGGAGCTGAAAGGAAACTCATGCATGCATACAATGAAAAACCTGTTCTTTCACGCCCTCAACATGAATTTTACTTGGTAAGTTTGAGCCTTAATTCTTGATACTGTTACATGGTGAAATAAGCTGACTGTTGACAATTTATTTTCACTCCCAAGCTAGGGAAAATCGATAATACTAGTTTGTTGGTTATAAACAGCATGTAGTTCACCGAAGTACAGTTCAATTATTCGTGAAGAA